GGTCCTGATAGGTAAAACCATAGAACTCAAAGAGGGTGTACTTTCTTTTTCACACGACTGTATGTTCACTGCCTTGAATAAATAAATAAAAGGCGGGATAGAATAATAATAATAGTAGTAGTAGTAGTTGTAGTAGTAGTAATGATGGTGATGGTGATGGTGATGCCCAACTTAGTTGGTACATGTTGTGATGTCTTAGAAGACCTTAAAGCACAATCTACTGGTTTGAATGGGGAAAAAGATGTCCTGTAAGACGCACAAGAACATGGAGGTGTTCAATAGCATAAGAGTTGTTGCATTTTCTGTTAGGACATACCTGCTCTTTCGAATTGGGGTGGGCAGCCTTTTTGGCAAGCATTACATTATGCCTTTAGACCAAGGATACACATGTCTGTGCTGAGCTGTAGCTTTAGACAGTTGATGCCAGAATTGCTAGTCAGCTGAGTTTGTACTAAGTGGAGTTGGCAGGGGATAAATCCAGTGTTACAGCCAGTGCCTCCCTTTCAGAGAGGGCAGCAATATAGAGACATTTCAGCATGCTGATAAGGATGGAAAATGAAAGCTGCTCTGAAATGATGATTTGCATCCTGGAAGCAGAAACTTTGGTTTGGCACAATGTCTGAATTGAGATGTTGTCTGTGATAGCTTCAGCTAGCTCTGGCCAAATGTTTCCAGCTGCCTGTGGGCTCAGTTGTTTATCTTGGATAGGAAGATGTCTTGTATTGTTGACCCATCTCAGTTCTGTCTGCTCTTGACGGCCTGTTGATGCTGGGGATTGAACCTAAAACCTTCTCCATACCCAGCAGGAGCTCCTCTAGGTTTGATCCATTCCCACAGAGCTGTCCTCAGTCTTGCAGCCATAATGTAGTGATAGTTGTCCAGAGGGAATATGTTGACACACCATTTAATTGCCAGATATTTCCTCCATGCACTAGGAGCTTTCCCAGATACATAGCACCATGAGTGAAGCACCACTCAGAATCCCAGAATCTTAGATTTGGAAAGGACCTTTGAGGTAATCTGTGCCAACCCCCTGCTCAGTGCCAGATCCACTAGAGTCTTTCTGATGATCTGTTCTTCCTGCTGACAGCTCATCCAGGCAGGCCATTCGTCCTGACATTTTGCCTGAATCTGTTCCTTAGTACTGGTCCTGCCCTCTGAGGCAATAATGAATAAATCCACTCCCTCTTCCTTGTGACAGCCTTTCAGATATTTGAAGACTGATGTAGCTTCCCTTAGGTGTCTTTTCTGTAGGCCAGTGTTTCTCAACCTTAGGTGTCTTTTCTGTAAGCCAGTGTTTCTCAAACTTGGCAACTTTAAGACGTGTGGACTTCAACTTCCAGAATTCCCCAGCTAGCATGGCTGGCTGGGGAATTCTGGGAGTTGTCCACACGTCTTAAAGTTGCTAAGGTTGAGAAACACTGCTCGAGGCTAACATACTCCAATCCTTTACAACTCCTCATAAATCTTGGTTTCCAGACCTCCCATCCCATTTAGTAGCCTTCCTCTGAACGCCCTCTAATTTGTCACTGAAATGGTATGTAAATGAGGTTAGAGTTAGTGCAGGCAGAACAGTTATTTCAGAAAATATTATCTTTGGTATATTGACTGCACCCTTTCACAGACAGAGCCTAAATGTCCATGCATTGGTAACCTCACACTTAGACTACTTTAGTGTGCTGTCTATGGAGCTTCCCTTGGATGTGGAATTGAAGCTACAGTTCTCCAGAACGTAGTGTCCAGGTTGCCGATTGGGTCACCTAACCATGTACCTGTTCCATCTTTGCTGAAACATCTGCTCTGCCTGCCAATTAGCAGCTGGGCCAGGTTCAAGTTTTCCTTATGATGTTTAAGGTCCTAAACAGCTTGGGATTCCTGACTGTCCTTGTAGACATGGTTGATGGTTGGGGTAGGTTTTACTGTGCGTGTTTCATCTTGCAGATGCTCTTGGTCAGCTTTCTCTCTGGTGGCCTCTGCTCTCCTGAGGTTCATGAGATACTATCATCTTTTAGGAATCTGTTAAAAGGCTTAAGTCTTCAACCAAGCCTTCCCTGAATGAATATCAGCTACACAGTTTTTGTTTCTGTTGTTTTTCTTTTCCCCATTCTTTTTACTGCATGCAGTTTTCATACTGCTTTTCAATGTATTGGGCATTTCATATTTGTCAGAATATATGTATTGGGAGTGGCATAAAATATAGAATTTAAGGTGGAGGAAAAGAAGGAGCATCAGAAACCCATGCTGGCTTAATATTTTGAGAATTGCGATCCTAATCCATCTGGAGGATGCCAGGTTGGGGAAGGCTGGCTTTGTGTGTCACGGGAACTCTCCCACTTCTCCAGATTCCTTCTCTCTCCCTTCTTATTTCAACTTTAGGGAGCATTTAAGCATTCAAGCACATCATCATCATCATCATCATCATCATCATCATCGCCCAGAGTGTCTTTGCAGTGAGATGGGTGGTGACAAATTTGAAATATAAATTAAATAAATAAAAATAATCACTTGTTAACTTGAGTCATTTTGTCTGGCATGAGTAAATTGTCCCACCTTCTCTTTTTCACTCCCATCCCTTTTTTCTAGGTGTGCCATATAGTCTTAGGTTTAAGACCTGCCACTCCAGAAGATGAAGGACAAATCATTAGGTATGTCTGATCTTCTGACATCACCTTTTAAATTAATTCCTAGAGACTCTTCCCTGGTTTAGAATAAGTTGCACACTTTGGAACAGGGACTTAAGCAAAGTAACCTCTTCTTCTGATCAAGAGCTTGGAAGAAATAAGATGCATCAGGACTTAATGTGCTACCTCCAGATTGGGACCAAGAAAAAGGTGTTCAAGCTAGATGGTATATAAAGGGAAGCGTGTCCTGCTCTTACTTGCATGCAGTAAGCCAAGAATCCTGTTTTCTTAAAATACAGGTTCTGGGTTCATGTATTCTTTGCCATGGTTTGCTTTAACTCTGTTTTGTCAGAGAAATTATAGAGGGTGGTTTCACAGAATGCTAAGCCATAAAGCACGATTTACAGATAAGGGTCTTCAGGTTCACATGTGCTAACCTAACCACAGGAAACCAAGCAAATTTCCCCTTATTTATCCTTACGTTGCAACCCATGAAATCTCAGTTGACAGCCCCAGCAAAAGCCTTTGCTGACCAGTAGAGACGTGGCTTTTGCCATTTTGTGGCAAGAAAAATGCAAATTGTATTTGAAGCCCTAGAGGTGGCTTAGCACAAACAAACAAGGAAACCCCAAATCCCAGCAAATAGGAAAATCCTGGTCTCACCCATATATGTGATGCAGCCTTGCTTGCTTGGCCCACTGCAGCTCTCAACCTCTACCTCCCATCCATTAAGTGCAGGCTCTGGAAGAAAAAAACACCCATACCTGGCTTACACAATGTGTGAATCAAGGCTGTGTGTGTGTGTGTGTGTGTGAATTAAATGCAACCCACATTACTTCTTTACTTCTCCTCTGTAGACTAAGCATCCAAACCTGCCATTTTGGTTTATTTTCCATACACAAGCCAACATGAACCATTGATTTAAACCTAACTTCCAATTCTAGTTTGTTTGCAATCGGCTAATTACAGTAAAAGTCTAGGAACCTGTGAGAACTTTAGTGGAAAAGTTAACATCAGTTCTGCAGGACTGTGTTAGCAAAAAAACCAGAAGGTTTAAACTCACCTGGTGTCTGGTTAGATGGGACCCAGTGTTTTTAAAGCATCATTTCAGCAGGTGATCATGAAGTCACTGAGTTTGTTATCCTCATGTAAGTGAGTCAGTGGGTCTCATGTCAGAATTCAGTGGAGTTTATCTCTGAATAGACACATGGAGAATTGCACTATTCTGCATGATGCTTTTTATCTCAACTTTAGTGAGTTTGGGACCACACCTATATTACATATCTATACAGGAATATTGTGACACTCCATAATATATGTGAAGCACTGAATGTCCTCCCTAAAAGCCTAGTGGAAATGTCATGGAGCATAATGGCTTAGAGCAGTGATGGCGAGCCTATGACACACGTGTCAAAGGTGACACACCACGATGTTTTGGGTGACACACCAGCATTCACCAATACCCGACAACAGCTATTCTCCCTGAGTTACCAAAGAAACTGAGTTTGTTTTACTCATATTTCATTTTTGTAATTATGTGACATTTCTTTATATAATACATAGCACCACACATGATTGGGCTGTATTTTTTTAAGTAAATTAATATGTAAAGAATTGTTTTTCTTTTGTTTTGGGGGAGTGACACGCCAGCAGAGTCAAGTTATGGAGTCCTTGGGGTTCTCTGAGCTTGGTTGTTTGTTGGTTGGTTGAAACAACCAAGCTCAGAGAACCTCAAGGACTCCACAGTTCAACCCTGAGCTACAGATATTCTCTTCTGTTAGAGTCAAGTTAGGCATTTTCCTAATTTTTTACATGCCGAGCCCAAAAGGTTCACCATCACTGGCTTAGAGAGTATTCTGCAAAACAAGAGATCACTAGAAAGAGAGGGAGATCTCTCTCTCTCTCTCTCTCTCTCTCTCTCTCTCTCTCTCTCTCTCTCACACACACACAC